TGCAGAATGAGCTCTTAAACTGTGCCTGCCGTATTTCTGCAGTGCTCAGCAGAATGTGTATGTAGTCTCTAAAATCAGCACACTGAATGATCTACTTACACTAAAATTCCAAGAAAAAAAACCTATATCCCACGACTAGGCACATCTATATACTGGAAGATGGGCCTCGCCGAACTGAGTTGAATGGTACTCTCAAATATAGAATTCAGAAATTTTGAGGCAAGATAAGGTCTTTTTTAAAAGTTTTCGCGTCACGCGACAAAGTTAGGCGCCAACCGCGCGGCTGCGCCCGTCAGTTAAGTGCCGCCGCCAATTTTTTTCACAAATCACGAGTGGTATTGTATATACTGTTGGGATCGCTGTATATCCAAAAAGGATATAGCCTTTGTTTCAACTAGCTTGGCGGCTAGAAGGCGGGGCTTCGTGACCTAAATAAGGCTAGATAATAATCATAGTGACGCGCGCGAGAGAGACGCAGATTGCTTAGCGGGCGCGAACCTTAAATAAGGCGCCAGCCGCCCATTCCAGCCGCCTAGCCAGTTGATTCAAAGGTTACAAGCTTTCTGTAGAGTGGCTGGCTAGCAAAATCCGCTCGAAGTTACCAGTCTTCAGGGCGTTTCAAAACTCTTCCATTTCTTTCGCCGGACACTATAGCAAGACAACCTAGTTACAATCGGCATAACCACTCATTCAAAAGAAATCTCACCAATATCTAATCTTTTTTGAATTTACGGTATACATTCTATTCACAGCTTGTCAGACCTTTCGCTGCTACTTCGAAGCACAAAAATACCAAAAGGGCATGCTGTCAAGCCACACGAATCCCCTCTGTGATCGCCTAAAATCTGACAGTCTTTTAAACCAAAGCTCGCTAGTTCCTCATTCAAACTATAACATTGACAAAAAGTATCATCACATTGTAAGATGTGCACATAATTAGACCGCGCCGGAGTGATTATGGACAACTTGCAGGTCAAAGAAGGCCCTGTCAAACATAACGGGCAGCATATCCATAATTAGCATGATTAACCCCTGTAGGCAATTTGAGCGAATTCTCAAGTTCCAAGATACTGGCTCACCTGAGTGAAATCGCCATTTTCCAGCACGATTAACTTTGTTTCAAAGGTGAAGTAGCTAGCTGTTTTTGCATTTAGGACAAACCATCACTCCTTCTTTTGTCACTTCAGAAATCTCGCTTCAAAAGACCTCCTAACTTTGGAATAGAAGCCAACCAGAATCTTGTTTTTTCTGTTCGCTTTTAATGGCTGTGCTTTCACCAAATATTACTCAGAGCTAAGAAGACGAATCAGGCTCAAATCACTCCTAAGAAATCTACGAGGTCTAGGCTATCGATTTATATAAACAATGTTCCCTAATGTGGCACCACCCCTGAAAAGCTGTGGCTGCCACAGCTTTTTAGGGGTGGTGCCACACCCCATTAGCTTACCATCAAGCAGATCAAATAGCTGCGTTTTTATATCGTTGTTACTGCTTAACCTTCTTCTTTACATAGCAGAGATTCCATATAAAAACGTTTCTTCAAGAGCAAGATATACTCGTTTTTCCTTACCTATGCAAATGTAAAATACTGGTAAAATACTGCGAAAATATTGGGATACGGTAACATGCTAAGTCTGCACTACTACTTGAGTCGCAAGGAAAGGCGACAGAATGTATATATTCGATAGCCTAAGGCTCGTGATCTACATCAAAGTGAGTTGAACTTGATTGGTCTTTTCTAACCTGAAATATTGAATACGAAAAAAAAGCAAACGAGATTTTGGTTTGCTCTTAATTTCTTAATTTGGAGGCCATTTAAATTAGGATTCCTAACGTGAGCAAAGAAGTAGTTGTTCTTTGTATTGAGCGCGAAAAGAAGTAGTTGACTTATCTTTGTAACGAAGTAACATGTTCAAAGACGACCAGGTGGTCCTGTATTTGGAGACCTCAAAATTCGCTGAAACTTGGACCACAGGGGTTATTTTACTTGCTAGATACAAAACGATGCTCTTATGCTCTATAGATCTTTGATTATGCTTATGTACGTATACGATAATGTGTCAACCAACATTGTGCTAGAATTTTGCATGACGGGCCTATTTGACATTGTTAACGAATATCATGTTATGCGAACAGCGGACGCCTTGATAACGACCCCCCCCCCCTCCCTGATTCCTCAATACGACCTCCCGGGTGTGGCATGCCACACCCCACGCTTGACCCTGATCACATCGCTCAACTAGGTTCAACAAGGCAAGTAACGGCTTCGTTGCTAATTCTCTATGTTTTCTATGTTTTGCAAACTGAAGTTTTTTTTATTGCAGGGAAGGATCTATCTATGATTGGAAGCGTGGTAGCTTTCAGTGAATTATAAATCAAGTATTAACGATCAAGCATAATTTATGCGCTCAAGTCTCCTAGAAACAAATTTTTTTTGTGTTTTTCAATCTGAAACATCTACCAGAATTTGAAGGCCTCTGCCATTGTATCCACAACTGGTCATCCTAAGCGGCAATGAAGTGGCTAGCGCTCTCCATATTTTGTATCCAGGCAAACTTTCATTAAATGGCTTATCGTCTCAAGTGCGCCAACTCTGTTTCCTTCCAGGCAAGATGGGCTTCATCCTGCGTTTTTGACAAAGTCGAGGACTTACGTGTAGTAGATTACTTAACATGGATGAGATTTCTTTGCAGTGTACTTGCAAATTCATACATTTACATTTAATTATTGCACACGAAGTGCTGCCATCACAAATCAGTATGGTAGTAATAACTATCCAAAAAAGTGAGCACAAGAAAATAAAAACCTAGAATTATTTCTATCAAAAAAAAAATGACCTCAAAGAGCAGCCACACAGGTTTGAAAGTCAGTCTAAGGCCTCGGGCAGAGTTTACGCGATTTAATCGTCGTGATTGTCGCGACAAGACAACTGTAACAATATCGTTGCATGCTGATCTTCTTGCATTTCGGTTTATGATAGTTTTCCAACACAACTAATCGTGACTAACTATCACAACCGAAATACGAGGAGACTGGCATGCAATGACGTAACTGTTGTCTTGTAGCGATAGAATCTCCACAATCAAGTCGCATGAACTCTGCCCGAAGCCTAGTACTACCACACCAACAGATAATGAGATTATAGCATTCAAAATTGACCACCTTCATTGACTTTAGCCATCGTTGCTGAATTAAGACCATGCATAACGAGAAGTGAGACTCACCTGAAAATGGTTCAAAGTGTCATTTGTTACGCCACACCACCAAATTGCCTCCAAACGAGCTAGTTCTTGACTTTCCTTTAGTTTTACTATTGTAGAAATTGTGCAGAGCAAGAATGACGTATTGGAAAACTACCCATTTGCGTGAAGTCCGCAATGGAAGTATAGGTTGTATCACCCAGCATCGGTCGCGGGAGCTCGAGATGAAGGTGCGCGAGTGCGCCACAGGCGGCGGAAATGTCGGATGGGAGGCGGTCAAGAGGCGCGATTTCTTTGGCTGTCACTAGCTTACGACTCCAGTTTAATGCTATGCGAGTCCTCAAAAAGTACAAAATAAAATGCATTAGCTTACTCACCGTCTGACATTAATTGCTGAGTTTGGTGGCTTTTGCGGGAAAATGGACCGAAATATTTACGTATTTGTTCTCAACTGCATTTTCATGGGTTTTTGACCTTCAAAGTTGCTGTTATAAACCGATTCCAAGGTATTAAGATTGAACAACCCAACAGCTATCTGATACATCTTCTTTTGAAATTTGAATACTATTAGAAAGTCGTAAAACACTTATTATGTGCTATTTGGTGCAATCTGGCAATAAAAATCGCGCCTCTTGATATACACCCCAAAAACAACTCAGTTGCTTACATGCAATGAAAACTAGAACCGAAAAACCAGCAAGGAAAGCTTATTGTCCACATGAGCAAAGAAACAAGCTGGATAAAAGTTGAAGTCGGGCTCGCAAATCTGACCACAAGCCCGCTTCCGCGCGCCCTTCTGTTTCCGCTGCTTGCGACGTGCGTGCGTCGCCTAATCTAATGGATACTCGGTATCGAGCTGGGTGAGGGTGGAGGACATTAGGTCGCCGAAAAAGGGCGGTCCCCGCGGTCATTTGCGACAAATACGCACCCTTGCACATGCGCGGACATGATGCGTTCCTGCAGGGAATCCGCGCCGGACCCTTCCAAATTCGGCGACCTAATGTCCTCCACCCGCTGGGTGATGCAGCCTATAAGTGGGGCGGCTGCAAAGAGGTCACCTCATCCTGCTGATACACATCGAACGTGATTTAATCTGGCATAGGGATATGAAAGGAAGAAAATCGCAATGATTGGCAAACAGTCGTTTTTTGCTCAGAACGTTTCCATCGCTTTCTTAACCGGGCCTCTTTTCATATGAAAAATTTAATTGATGTAGAAGTCGTTCCCTTTCTGCGCCTCGCTTCTGTGCCTTCCTATCGGAAAACAAGCTTAACTTTGCCTTATCTCTGCCAAGTGTTTCCTCACGCGAATGCTTAATAATCTTCTAGTTTGTCTGGTATAATGGCTTGGCAGAAAGACGATCGTTGGTAGACTACTCTTGCTTTCGTGCGGTTCCCCATCTACCATAAGAGCATACTATGCATTGCGTCGTTGTACAACATTGACCGTAGAGCCTGTTGGTCTTGTCATTTGAAATTTGCATTAATAATGCGATGTTTGATGGTTTGGAATCACAGGTGACATCAAAACTATCTCAATTCTCTAAGGAAAAGAAATGCGTTAAAATGATGGGTTGCGAGATTGAAATAAAATCTATGAAACCTGTGTGGCACAGAAGTAATTTGAAGATGTGGTCATGTCTAGGTTTCGAAAAACGGAAGTTTTTCGCTTCTCATTTTTCACACTGGATCACTCTTACGAGAGGATCTCTTTTTACAACTAAAAGTAGAGACTTCAAATTTATGACATAAAAGTTAAACCTCACTAATTTAGGTGCTTGGACCACGTCGGCAAGGAACAATGCATGGAATAAACTCGTTGCTTGCAAGCTGCAGTCGTGTTCTTGGGCCCATTGCTGTTACGTGAGTTAACTCAGTATAGTCAGCATACAGTGGAATTATTTCTGAGTCAAAATTAAGCAGATGCTGCTGAAGTGAGAAAATATTACAGAGCGCATCAAATCTTTGGCGGTAAGTTCGCAGCACTACCACAGAAGTACTACTTTTTTATCTCAAATTTTATAACATGCTGCAATCATCCTCTGCAAAATATCGTTTTATGAGCCCAAGATGATTAAACACTTATTTGCAGAAAGAAGGAATTGTTAAATTGCTGTTTTGGATGTTTTCGTTTGATTTTTTGGCGCACTTTTGTGTATAACAATAAATAAAATAGTTTCTTTCGCCGAGCTCATCTTACACGAGTCTGTCATTATAGGATAAACGCAGATTTTGGCGCATCTCCTACTTTCTATGACTTCTCAAATCAACCTTGTTTTTTTTCGCTTATTGCTTTTTCAATGAGTTTGATTATGCTGTTTCTTTTAGGGACATGTTTGGATACTTTGGACCCCAACTCGTTTGGGTATTTCAATTTGGCGTTTGGGCAGTACTTCTCGCTATATTCGCCATATTCTATAAACGACTGGTACCGTTGGAAATGCCAAAAGTAGCAGAAGAAGAAGAGGAAGAAGTAAAGAAACCACTTCAATAACTTCGATAATATTTTTTATATCTGCACTTCATATCTCAGCACTGTCAGAGCTATCTTGGTTTTGAGTTTTTACTTCAAATGCCATTTCCTTGTTGACATTAGAGTCTCCCAGAGACTATAGATTGTCTTAACTTTGGTTAATAAATGTTAACTTATAACCCAAAAATACGTTTGCACGGACTTGCAACCTTGATTTTTACCCTTGATTTGGCGGTGAATAGTAACAGTGCTTCTCTACGAACACCTAGCTGGCTTACCTGGCTCCGCCCACCTTGTCATACTATGATAAAGTTCCCATCCCTATTCCTGTACAACCATGCCCTGTGTCCACTTCTACATGCCAATTCCCTATTCCGCTGTGTCAGTAATCAGCATGCTCACCTACCCCCCCCCCCCTCTCCCCTGTGCCAACCCCCAGCTCCGTAGCTCAGACTGTAAAAAATCGAAAATCCTTAAAAGTAACGGACAACTCTAAAAACTAGTATTGTATTTGTAACCAGCATGGTCACATAGAAGACATATCTGAAATCAGCGTTTCAAGCTCTATTCATTGACATAGATCAATTTCCGAATCACCACTTCGACTAAGCTAACTTCCCTTGTTAGATCTCCAATATGAAGATTCAGCGACCACATTTCACTGCTGTAAGATTACCTTAAAAAAACGAAAAAGAATTTTGGGACAGTGGGGCCTGAGAAAGGAAATCAAAAATAAAACCAAAAGCGCATAAGTCAAGGTAATCAAACTTATAGGTCTCTCTAGAAATTTGTACCTAACCGTAATTGTAATTTATTTTGGTTACAGTGTAACAAATCCTTCAGTTCAGTGTTCCTCAAAATGTGATTGCACATCAAAAAGGCTCAAAAAGTTCGTGAAAATTTGCGTAGTGAAATGAGCATACTCAAAAATACTGCCAAACAATCTTAGGTTTTCTTGGAGTAGTGGCTCCATGCGCTAAATGTTCCTATGGTAATCCAGCAATAATAAGATCTAAGAGTAGTCCACGATTTCAATGCAGATGTAGGCTGGAGGGAGCTTTACGGAATGGTATGGTACCACAAAGGTTGGTAAAAGTCATTGTGTGAAAAGAGATAACAGCGATCAGAGAGTGTAAATACCTTTGAGACACTGTATATGCTGGGGATGTCAACTCAAATATTCAAAGGCTCATCGAATTTTCAAATTTTCGATGCTCATCGATTAGTCGAATATTCGATGGACATCGAAAAACGAATCAATAACTATCGAATATTCGACTAATATTCGAAAGTTGGGATTTTCGAATATTCGACTTTTGAATAATCTTCGAAACAAAATTATTCGAATATTCGACTATCGAATAATATTCGAAATCTAAGACTTTCGAATATTCGAATTTTCGAATCATTCGCATTCGAATGATTTATTCGAGTAATCGAATAATCATTAGATACGTTTTTAGCACGCGGCGCGCGTGCCTTTATACTCTTCCCATGTTGCCACCGCGCCTGCAATTCTCACATCGCGTAAAGTAGACGCAGTGGTCAGGCTGCTCCGTCATTCCGAGGTTAGGTACCACATCTTAGTGCATGGGTATTCGCAGAAACAGAAGTCTTCTGCTTTCAAGCGTTAACCTTCGGTAGTGCTGCGAATGGGTGCTAAATTTGAAGTTTTGGATTCTCATAGAAATTCATATTTTTTGACGTGAAGTGAAGTGTTGATTGGATTATCAAGACTTACAGTGTAGAGTCAAAAAAAATTGGAAAATGGCAGCCATTTGCGGACAACCAGCAGCGGCGCGGCATCCAATGTCCCGTCACCGCGGACTGGGTGTTACGCCACCGTGTGGATGCGCGCGCTGCACGCTCCAGCTGTCTGAGAATATATTGTGGTGTCTATGCTTATCATTTTGTCGTGGAATCTGAGAAACACGAGCAAAAGGTAGAAGCGCTGAATTCCGTCACGAAACAGAAATCGAACGAAAAATGTTGTACTACAGCTGTTACCCAATCGCCATATTAAGCCATGTATAACTTTCGATTCTCAGATTCAGTTCAACTCATTGTCAGAGGACGATGCCATCGCCATGTTCGGCACTATTTGAATGCATCGCCCAACTAGATTCAACAGCTAAGTAGTGGCTTCCTTGCTAGCTCTTTATATTTTTTATGTTTTGAAGGCTGGCAGCTGAGTAAGTTTTCTTTTATTGCAGAGAAGGAGCTATCTGATTGGAAGTGTGATAACCAGGGCTCGGCAGTGGCTTGTAAGCAAGCCAGACAAAAAGCAAAGGAGTATCGTTTTTGATGCACAAAAATTGTGAAGTTTTTTTAGTCGGCTTCGTTTTTGAGATTTTTTACGTTTACGGCTTAAGGTCAAAGGGGACTTCGTAAAAATTCGCAAAATCAAGGACTTCGTTTTTTGCATTTTCCAAAAGCCACCTCATGTTGTGCCGTGGTGGTAGCGTGAATTATAAATCAAGTATTAACGAGCAAGCATAATTGCATGCGCTCAAGTCTCCTAGAAACAAATTTCTTTTTTGTGTTTTTCAATCTGAACCATCTACCAGAATTTGAAGGCCTTTGTCAGTGTATCCACAAGTAGTCATCCTAGGCGGCAATGAAGTGGCTAGCGCTCTCCATATTTTGTATCCAGGTAAAGTTTCATTAGATGGCTCATCTTCTCAAGTGCACCAATTGTTTCCTTCCAGGCAAGATGGGCCTCATCCTGCGTTTTTGACAAAGTCGAGGTTGTACATGGAGTAGAGTACTTAACATGGATGAGAACGGACGAGAGCGGATGCTTTACTGAATGCTTCAAGAACAACGCCTGCATTGCACTATGGTATTACAAAGTCAGTTGGTCATACTATTGCTGATACTAGCATAGGTATAATAGGATTATACCAGCATTTCTACCTACACCTTTACACTAAACAGTGGTGGCGCTAAAGTTACTCTTGGGTTCTTCGTTCATAAGAGCACTTAACAGAAACTTTGATCTCAAATTAATTCCATCGTTTTACACATAACCTCTACAACACTGCTTCCACTTGGGTCCACTTGGCTGAGTGATAATTAGGATGTGCAATATAAAGCTTCGAGATAAACCCCGACGATCTTTGAAACTCCTATTTCGGCCAAATTTTTTAAAGATTTTACGAGAAACGCAAGCTTTTTACAACTTTTGCTTTTTCGTGGATGTCGGCTGATTAGCTAACTAACAAAAACCAGGAAAGGAAATTTCTTGAATATTGAAATTGTCACAACTTTTTTCCGCCGCCAATTTTTTCGCACTGAATAAAATTATGTTGTTGTTGCTTGTTTGATTCCAAAGGAACTAGATGATGAGCCTTCGATCTCAAATTTGCAACTTGAGTTTTTCGATACTCGTAAAAAATCAAAAGCTGTTGGACTAGCCTTTGGTTGCAGCTTTATCCGCACTCGACTTCGTATGGAATGCAATGGGAGGGCCGTCTGCGTGGTTAGCCTTATTGTTAGCAGGCTAGTTACTGTGCGCCTCTAATTGGTCGGCGCTGCTGCGATTGTGTAAGAGAGAGAACTGAAATGTTATCAGAGACACAAACACTTTGCATTGGACGTACGCAAGGCACTCTCCCAAAGAAAAGAATCAAAGAAGATCCCAATTATTATGTGACTTTAGGGTGCGGAGAAAGTACTGTCCCTCAGTCTGCCTCCTAAAAAACCTCGCAGATGGAGAAAATCTATAGTTTTTCAATTTCTCCATGTAGGCGGGACCTTGTAGATTAGACTAAGATAAGTTTGATTTGGAACTGTTTTCTTCTATCCATTTAATTGGATGATAACGCGCAGCATCATCGACGACGCGCCGCAGCGTTTGGTCGCAATTCTGGACCGGAATTATACCACCAGGAATAATATCAGTTTCAAATTAAGGTAATATGTAGAGCATAATTTCTTCTTCAAAACTCTTAATTTATTATGATTGCGATTTGAAATTTTGTCCAAACAAAGAAAATCGTACCAAGCAAAGTCCAAAAATTCTCAAAAAGAGGTTAATTAGTCATTCTCTTGCTCAACAAATTGGAACCGAACTATGATTCGAAATTCCAGATATCAACAAAAAGTAACGGGAATAATAAAAAGAACGATCGCGCTTTGTATACATTATAATTTTGAGTCAATAAATGATGGTACTTAGTTTCTGTGCCACGTTTTCTAATCGCATCCTGTTGCGCCGCAGACGCTACTTCGTTAAAAAAATTTACCAACTTTTCCTCCACTGCAACTGCTATCCGGATACTGCCATCATATTTCGAAGACACTACAGCATTCCCAATACAGTAAAAGATTTTTCAAATCCACTCATTCTCACTGTCACTGTCGGAAACAAAAGAATTTCACCAAAAACTTCACACTTCCTTCACATTTGTAAAAGGGCGTTGCAAGATTTGATATGGGATGCGTTGTGAAAAGGGATCCGCCGCCATTTGAAATTGCAGATTTTTTGAGCCAGTTTTTGTAAAATGCAAGAATACAGTCACATCTTAGGATTTTGTCCAATTTAGGAAAAATCTGGGAATCACGCAGGTTTTTTTGGCTTTATTTTGAGGGAACGTGCTTTTTCCGCACCCTTAGCAAAGTGTTACACGTGGGTGACTTAGATAGTTTTTCAGGTTACGCCTGCGGAGTTTACGGTGTTGTCGGGGAACTAGGATGGGGAAGGACACCACGAAATGGCTAGTAAAAGGTTTCAGCCTTCTCAAAACCTTGTCATCGTGATTTGAACATTCTCACTGTCACTGTTCGAAAATTTGCACTCGTTTGCTGTAATATTCAGAAACGTTTGAAACTTAGTTAGATTATAAGAAAGACGGAGTAAGCAGCGTCGTTCTGGGGCAGTGTATAGCGCTAGACGGAGCCTTGCAGAACGGCATGCACTCTATTGCGACACTCAAACGATGAGTCAAAATTTATAAAGATCAGCGAGCCAAGATTTGCGGTAATAAAAAATTTGGCTTACTGTGCAAAAGCGGAAAACTTTGAAGTTGCATGGAAATAAGGCACGTTTTGTGTTGCAGGATTGCCTGACATAGTGACATAGTGTCTGGCTTAGTGAGCGCTAGAGAGATCGTATGCAGTAGTTGCATAGGGATCCACTGCGACGTTACGAGGGCGTCATTTTACGACATAACATGTAAAAAAAAGGATGTCGAAGAAGTACGAAACATCGCCTGTTGATGGTCCGAAATAAAATGCTGTGGAGCCAATAAAAGAAGCCCGCCTAAACGCAAGGACTGTTTCTTTGCCGCAGAAATTCACGTTTCAAAAGGGATCGTTGAGTTCAAAGTTGTAGAATTTTGAATAAAATTTATCAGGTGCCCGCAAACTTTTTTTCACCCTAATACAAACCAGTGGCATAGAGATTATATCGCTATATTACAGGATGAAGGCAGGTGCTTCTTGTCCAGCACAGGAAACGTCAGTTTCCCCTGTGATCCCGACGAAATCTGCTACACTCTTCATCGCGATGAGGAGGATTCCGTTTGCGCAAGATACGTGGACGTTTAAGACAAGATCAAGTATCAGTCATGACCGTTTTCGCTTTATGTAGGACGAAACTTGAGATAAAACTCTATATTTGTGTACAAATATCATGTCACAATCTAAAAACGCTGTAAAAAATGAAACTATACAAAAATATTTCACGAAAAGCAGCAAGTAACTCGATGCAACAGCTGATTCATTTTATAAGGATGACTCTTTGCTCTGCAAAACTATGAAAACACTTCTTTCTTTTGCTATAGAGCAAGGAAGGCAATGAAACTGGTGTATAAGGTGCTGCTGGGAGAATTTCCCTCAATCTTATCGTGTGAAGGGCTATATTAGATTAGGCAAGTGTTTGTGTGTAATCTTGTAAGCCAGCTCTCTTTGCGTTCTGTAAAGTTGAGCGTTTCGTGCATTCGTGCTGCCTTCAGCTATCCGAAGCAACTTCATGCACTTTTTGTCGAAAGTAAACGGATAATACAAAGCCTTGGACGAAGCGCTATCGGAAAAAATTGGGAAAAAATGTAGAAGCGCAGCAAATCAGATGAGTGTATAGTTAAATGCAGATGAATCAGTTTGGGATTATAAGTATGTTATATCCTGTCAATAACTAAGAGCTACTTTAACAATGCAGGGCAGCTGTCATATACCAGAGCCGTCGCAATGGCATAGTTAGAAGTCCGATCTAGAGCGAAGTTGGGATGTTAACATTACAGCAAACAGCATTTATATCACGCCAGTGGGTTGCATATATGTTAGACTAGCTGGCAAACCCGGCTCCGGCTGCTCCTGTCAATAATACATTTGTAATCAGCCTGCTCGATTACCCCTGTGCCAACTCCCAGCCCCGTAGCTCAAGTTTTGCAAAAAAATCGATAAAATCGATTATCGATCGATAACGAAAAGTAGCCTACGACACCCGCCCCGCCCCGACGTGTATGACTTACTCCCCTGTGCGAACTCCCAGCCTTGTAGCTCAAACTTTGCAAAAAATCGATAAAATGATAAAAATAATCGATAAATCTAAAAACTAATATTGTTTCGGAATCGCCATGCTCGCTTACCTCCCTGTGCCAACTCCCAGCCCCGTAGGTGACTGCAAGAAAATCGATAAAAATCGATGTCGATAGATGACGAAAACTAGCCTATGACATCCGCCCGGCCCCGAAGTGTATTTGTGCAAAGTTTGGCTAGGATCAGTTCAGAAACAAAATTTTCTGTTTGGAACATACGTAACACAAACAGATAGAACAGACAGACATACAGACAGACAAACAGACATTCAGCTTTATATATAAGGCCAGTCCGAAGCGGCGGCGGCTCTTCGGACTGGCTATATGTGTGGAGTGAGATGTGACTGTCAAAGTTAGAACGTGGGAAACTTTCCTAACCAAAAGTTTGGCAAGATTCTCACACATTTAACGAACCCAGAGATTATTAAAACTAAGTGTCAGGAATTTTTCCTGTGAGTGGTTTAGTAAGTCCTATTAACAAAAGTGCCAACATACAGGGTGTCCCAAAAAATGTTTCGAACGTTTGATCGTTAATATCTCTCTTCCCAAGAAGTCTTTTGCCTTGCTTCAGGGACCGTTTTGTAGAGCTGGCTTCAACTTAGATTTGCATTATAGAACGAATCACCCATCTCTCTTCATTACTGTAGTACGGTAGAAACTGAAAGAGGGTTTTAAGCAATGAAAGGCCATATTTTGCCTCAGAAAAGAAACAAAACAGCCTGAAAGCTTCTACACTAGGCTAATTAGAGTTGCTGATTATAACTGTAAAGTTTCCGACCTATCATGATGCTTCATTGAAGAGTTATGCCAGGTAAGAGGTAGCGGCCATTTTTTCAATGTTCCTAAAAAGTGCGATTACACCGTTTAGAAAACTTCGTAACCTTGTGAACAGTTGAGTATTGAACTCAGCGTCCACAAAAACCCTATGACACAAGTTTTCACAATTATTTGAAAAATTTTGAAACGGCAGCTTTTTTCCACATTGACACCACATGTTTCAAGTTTCTACCGTAATACTACAGTAATGAAGAGAGATGGGTGATTCGTTCTCTAATGCAAATCTAAGTTAGAGCCAGCTCTACAAAACGGTACTGAAGCAAGGCAAAAGACTTCTTGGGAAGAGAGATATTGACGATCAAACGTTCGAAACATTTTTTTGGGACACCCTGTATTTTCTACGTATGCCTTTGCGGTTTGCGAACTTGCTTTGCTGTCCTCCCTGAGTTCTTTGGGCAAACTGCATCCCCCCTCTCTCCCAACTCCTTTTCGCCCAAAAGTTTTCTTTATGAAACTTCCCAAGCTATCAATTTTTTCTCGCATTCTCACATCCTTCAGATCTTACTTACCGCTTACGAATCTTGCCCGAAAGGTGGTGTTGAGAAAATGCGAACTCGTACCTTCACCGTCTATCCCCCGAATCAGGCCAAAATTAACATGATGCGCCGCCAGGATTCCGCGTCATATCTGCGGTTTGTTAATGCTGGTTATGTTGGGATCTGTCTCTTCTCTCCTTTTCTCTGAATTCTCCTGCAACGGGAAATGCATCGCAAGCTCTAGCGTTGGCGTGAGGTTTCAAGCCAAGTCGCTCATTCACAGTCGAAGTCGCTCATTCACACATTTTGCGAAGATTCTCCGATACCCTCAAATTCTCACATTCAGAAATTTTCTGACTGAAGTGGCCGTCACAAACTCGGCAGGCTTCTCCCAGCTGTATACATTCTCTTGACTGTTTTCACCCGGGGCCCTGCTCTCCTCATTGATCGCCCCTACGAGCTACCTTAGAGGCAGCGCCCAGGCAAATCTGTACATATGGGGATCTCAGCGGACAGTAATTATGGAGCCCTAACTAACAAGGGAAGGATGATCGGTCGAAGTGGCCATTTCGAATAAGCTGTATATTGGGAAACCGTCCTCGGTAAGGCAAACTCAAAACTACTTTCGCTAGGTGCCGAGCGGTTTTGTGGGGGGAGTTACAAGGCCATTTTCCTCAGGCGCAGCCGGCACACCCAGTGATGAGCGAGGCGCTAGAACAACATAGCAGTGTGGGGGGTGGCGCAGTGGTAAGACAGCGGAATACGAGGGAAGTGGTCGAGGGTTGGAGTCCTGTTGCTGCTACTTTGTTTTGCATTTCTGTAAAAAGTCTGCTGGGTGACAGTAAACGAAAAATACTCATTACTAGGCAGTTGAAACAAACTATTTACTGCAAAAAAGTCACTATTTCTACAGTAAGCTATAATCTCCTACAATATGAAAATCTGTGGAGGTTATGATGTCACAACAAGGGATTATGATATATTAACATGTATGGAATACAACCACAAAATGCTCAAAGCAGAAGAGCTTCGCGCAGCGCGCGCACTTGCAAAATTGCAGTCGATTCACATCCCATGTATTGACTCTCGATCTGAACTTCACCTTGCATCATAGGGATTCCATCCTTAAAATCTTATCGCTCATTTACATACAGTTCTCGCCGCGATTAAAAATTTCCTTTCATACCCATGGCATGCAGCCGGATACATTGATAACCACTCCGGCGAATTCGAGTCTCCTATTCAGTACTCTTTTTCACCGACTTCGACAGGCAATTGTGAAGCTGCTGATTGTCATCGTTTACATTTTATCCGATGTGCGCGCTGCGAGAAGCTCTTCTGCTTTGAGCATTTTGTGGTTGTTTTCCACACATGTTAATATATCATTTGTCGCGCACTAATCGGGTTCGTTAGTGCGAGGGCGGATGTCCAGGTGGGGATAGAGAGAGTAATAGAAGAATTTATTAGGAGACTAGTAGAGACAATAACAATGACTAAAACAACGGCCGGGCGGCCTTATTTATAGCCGCCACGGTACAAAGTACATGGTCAAGAACAAATTTAATAATCATTGCCTATAGGTGCCACGGCGTCCATCCTTGACATGCCCCTCCGTCGGTAAGAGTCGTCCCGACTCGTGACTTGTGCATAGTGAGGATTGACAACTCTCGCGTCTTGACCCTTGGAGACCAGGAAACTGACGACAGGTCTTCTCCCACCTCCATAGAAGCAGTGCTGTTGCACTATTGATGGCTGATTTCCACCTTGGCTACCCGCATCGTGGCAATCATCTACCAAATCAAGAGGTTGTCCTTGCAACCACCTATGACTGTTCCTGAAAATAGAATTAAGGGGTCTAATGCAATATTTGTGGCTCTTAGTACGTGATTCAGCACCAGACTCGGTTGTCTTCACGTCATTTCTTAAACTAGAGCATTGTGAATTTCGATTTAGTCGATTCCTAGAGGCTTTTGACAACCTGTCTCTCTTGGCTCTCTTGAGCTGTCGCTCTAGGGACCGCACAAGATTGCAGATCCTCGTGTTTTTCCCCGCCGCGGTGAGCTTGGTCCCTGCCAAGTTAACTTCGTGCTGAAAGCGACTGCTCCTGCTCTTTGTACTCGAGGCTACTTTACAGTTCGCGACCTCTTCCCGTACTCCTTTACGACTAGGAGACATTTCGGTTAGCGGTGCAGTCTCGAGCTGTTGTTTTCGCTTTCTCCGTTTTCTTGGAACACCGATTTGGGCGAATTTTTCGGCAACTGTCCTTCTTGTGCCATTATGAGTGTTTCTCAAATCAGCGATAGAGGCCCAAGTTGCGGTAGCGCATTTGTTCCGAGCACAACTCTGCCATCTCCTCCCTCTCTAACGAAGAAGGCTACTCTGTGCTTGGTGCCACTCTCGACTTGCAAGGTGAGCTTCACCGCTCCCTTGAACTTTATCCGTTTCCCGGAGGCATCGTATGCGGAAGGTAACTGCTGAATCGGGATTTCTTCAACGTCCGCGTTCAGATCAAATCCCTTTTTCATGCTCGTCATTAGCAATCTCAGGGGGATGATGCTGATTTGAGAGCCTGTATCTACCATAGCTCTTCGAAACAATCCCAGCAAACGTACATTTAGCATCATTTGCTTCCCAAACAGCTGATTCTTCCTGATCGTGTCCTTGCCGAGCTGCAAATCCATCGATCCAAAGATGCCGT